GCTAGTAGTAACAAGTGCCTTACTAGTAGTAACAAGTGCCACGCTAGTAGTAACACATTGTTCTAAAGAAGGGATGTCTAAATGTCTAAGAAGGGATGTGGTCTCAGGAAGACACACATGTTCTTGTCCTCACAACGGGTTCAATGTCCAACAAAAGAAACACCTGCAGTGCCTGTCCCTCAAATTCTCAATAGCGAAGCAAAAAAAGTTGTTTGCAAAGATAAGAACTTTATCTACCAAAGGTACCACATCTGCTGATGATTGAGCCACCTTCATCATACAAAAAGACTTTGGAGATACGTTCGTCCTACAAATGATGACATCAGCCGATGGAAGGGCTTCCCCGCAAAACACAAAGAGTAAGGGCTTAGACTTCATTCGTTTTCAGTACTTCCAGCAGCGGCGTGCAACCTTGCGCTGTATCGTGCTTGCTGACATGCTCAGGTGTTCCCAAATGTTGCGCGGCACGTGCGGTCGTGGTCGCAGCTGCCTCGTGTATATCACTTTGGACACTTTCAGACTTTTCTCTAGGTGGGAAGCCATCGCTAGTAGGTTGGAGGATATTGCTATTAGATTGGAGGCCATCGCAAGCCTCCATCGCTCTTGGACAAGTCTCTGCTTTAGAAGATGCTTCCGCAAGCTGGCGCACGTTTTGAGGTGTGAAGGGTTTGTTTTGTAGCCACTAAAGGCTACTAGAAACAAGTGCATCGCTTCTAGTAACAAGTGCCTTACTAGTAGTAACAAAAAAGCTATTATCTGTAATTAAATTCTAATAATATAGCTTTTTGTTACTACTAGTAAGGCACCTGTTACTACTAGCGTGGCACTTGTTTCTACTAGAAACAAGAAGCCTCAGTGTTGGGTTGAACCTCGTGGTTGAAACATCGGGTCTTGAGCTAACGGAAGGGCCCCAAACAGGGCTGAGCCTCAGGTGGCCTGACCGTGTTTGAGTTTGATTGGCGAGTTCTGTGGTAGGTTGATTCGGACTTAGGAGCCAATAGCGATGCCCCTTTGCTCCGTAGCGATGCCCCTTTGGCTCGGCCGAAAAGGACGGAAAGGGACGAGAACGAGCCGAACATGAGCGCTGTGCTCGCTGTGCTCGGACCGTTCACCGCCGCCCGATCATCGCATCGACCGCGTTTGGAAAGGATGAAGCCTCCATTTTGATGCGCGTCACACACGATCCTCATTGGCATTTTGTAGAAATAACACTTCATAGAAAAGGAAGAAGCACATAAGCTACGTTCGGGGCTCCTGGCATCGCTACGAACGGAGCGATCGGACGCTACGATCGGGGCTCCTGGCCGTACTACTAGGAACAAGAAGCTACTAGGGTCATAGGATGTGTGGATCGATGACCGTTGCTAGTTCCAGCAAAGTGAAAGAGCTTTGAAGGCTTTGCTCACCTCGGTGGCAGCCGTGGCATTGCGGCGGCAGCCTCGGAGCAGGTACGGCCTTGGAGCGATGGCCTCCAACCTAATAGCTTCTTGTTCCTAATAGCTTCTTGTTACTACTAGTAAGGCACTTGTTACTACTAGCGATGCACTTGTTACTAGTAGCTTCTTGTTCCTAGTAATAAGGCCAGGAGCCCCTAGTAGCGTCCTTGCTCCTAGTAGCGATGCCAGGAGCTCCTAGTAGCTTCTTGTTACTAGCAGTGATGGCCTCCAACCTAATACGCAAAGGTCCAAACAATTGGAAGAGTTGCGCACT